TTTTCAAATGACAAAATTAGAGAATGTGTATAGTGGATGCTTTGTACATTCTTTGGTTGCTTTTCTAATGGCAATAGGTAGATCTTGATCACTAGTTTTAGTTTTAGGAGATGAGAAATAGAGTCAAAGACTGTAGTTACCTCATTTCTGGAGCTATGATTAGGTTTTTGGACTTGCACTGGTTTAGGAGCTGAAACTTTTCTTCTTAAGTACACCTGTAATTCTTTCATAGATCAAGAATAGTATTATCCTTAGTCATAACTTTTTTGTTTGGATTAGGTTCAAATTCAGATTTATTGTTTGACTTGGACTCTAACGAAATAGGTTTAGACTCAAAACAATTACTGGGTGAAAATTTTAAAGGACAAGTCAAGCAAAAAAAAGTCTTTATCCTTATCTTCCATGAATGAAGTTTTCCCCTGAAGATAAGGTTGAGCAAAAAATAGTTTACTTTCTTTAAAAGTGACATTTGTAGACTTAGAATTTTTTGGTATGAGGATGATATCACTTATACCTTTTCTGAGTTGATGAATGCCCCACAAAAATATACTTAACTATTCTTGGATCCAATTTTCCCTTGTTATGACTGTGAACATGAACAAATGATGTACAACCAAATATCTTACGTGTGAGGTTGTTTGTGCTATTAAAGTTGGGATAGAATTATGGAAATAGCTCCATAAGAGTTTTTAATGCCAAAATCCTTGAAGATAACCTATTTATTATGTGTGTGGTCGTGAGAATAGCTACCCTCCAATAGGATTTGAATATGTTTGCTTGAAAAAGTTAGGCTAGGATTGTGGCTAGTAAATGGTTGTTTTTCCTCTTTGTCACTCTATTCTACTGTGGAGTATTAATATAAGATGATTCATGGATAATCATTTTTTTTTGCTAGAAATTGGTAGATAGACTCTGGTTGAAATAGTCTCTTACATTATCAGACATAAATCTCTTCATTTTTAACTCCGAATTGATTTTGGATCATGTTTTAGAAGCTTAAAAACACGTTATTCACATCTAATTTGGATTTAAGTAAAAAAATCCAAGAGACCTTGGCATAATCATCAATGAATGAAACAAACCTCCTTTCACTAGAAATATTAGGAATTATAGAGGGACCACATATGTCACTATTAATCAACCAAAAAGGAGTAGAATATCTTTTATTGTTAACTGAAAAAGACACACGTCTATGCTTTGCAAGTTTTCAAACATCAAAATGAAAATTTTTGATATTTAATCCTTTGAACAAAGAAGGAAACATGTTTTCCAAAGTTCTAAAAAAATGATGTCCAAGACAAAAATGACAAAGCTAGAGTTTGTCTTTATTAGGAGATTTTTTAGAAATAAATTACAAAGGTAAACTATTCTTGATATTACATATGTTGTTTGATGTCTCAAGATAGTATAATCTATCCTTCTCCTTAGCAAGTCCAAACCTCTTCCCTAAACCTTAGTCCTGCAATTCACAATAGGAGGGATACAAAGTCACAAAGCAGTTCATGTCTTTAATAAGTTTTTGTATAGATATTAGATTAGTAGACAATCTAGGAACATGAAGAAAATTTTAAGAACAAACAAGGAATTAATTTGAATAACTCTTAATTCTGTCATTGTAGTAAGTGAACCAACTGCAACTACAAATTTCTTATTAGCAAGACACAAGGTATATGTACTAAACTTCTGTGAAGAATGTGTCATGTGGTCTGTAACTCTTGAGTCAATGACCTAAGAACTCATAATAGACTTATCTGAGACATTTAATTCATGAGAACTAGAGACTTTACCTATGCTGAAGATCATACCTAAGTGTGCCAAGGAACATACTGGTAAGCTTTTCAAAGGTTTCTAATAGGATTCTCAATTTCTCAATCTCATCTCCGTTCAAATCTCTTTGTTCTCGAGACTTTTCCTAGTTTGACTCAATTACTGTCATGTGAGATTGCCTTTGATATCTTGGTTGTCCACCATTGTTTGCTTGAAGTTGAAGGTTTACCATTTAGTTTCCAATAATGATTTGTGGTGTGCTTTGGCTTCTTATAGTAGGTGCACTAAAAATTGTCATGGCTTGAGGTTTTAATCAAATCACCTTTCCCTTTCTCATTGACTGGTAATCTTTCTAAGCTTTGGTTATTCCCACCATTAGACACCATAGCAGATCTTTCTATATTTAGGCTGTCAAGCATCACTCTTCTTCTGCTCTAACCATAGAGACCTCATTTAAAGAAGGCAAATCCTCTTATCGTAAAATTTAGACTTTGACTTTATCAAAGTCAACATTAAGTACAACAAGAAAATGATAGACTCGATCGTTTTCAATAAACTTCTTCAAAGTTGCTGCATTTTCACTACAATTCATCTCTATGCTCCACAGTAATGATTCATCTTTATTCACCATAGTAATGATTCATCTCTTGTAAAAGATTTTTCAGAAGAATAACATACTCTGTGACTGACTTATTCCCTTGTTTGAGAGCTGCAGTCTTAATTTTTATCTCATAGACTTGAGCAGTATCCCCAATTTTGGAGTAGGTTTGCTGAACTGACTCCTAATGTCTTTTGCCGTGAACAAAAAAATGCAAGTGTCACTAATATTTGGTGTTATAGAATTCCAGAACCATGACATAATCATGGAATCCTCTTCATCCCAAGCCTTAAATTTTGAGTCTCCTTTCTTAGGACTAGTACCGAGAAAATGGCTTAATTTTTCTTTCCCTTTTAGAAAGGTTGAACCAATTGAGACCATTTCAAGTAGTTTTTTCCATTCAATCTGTACACAGCTTGGATATTTTGTAGTTTTATGGTTTGACCAGTTGTCACTTCCTCGAATTAGGTAGTAGCGACAAATTCTACTGTCTCTAACATGGTTATCTTTTTCAGGAATGAGTTTTGATAATAAAAATTTAACTAGAAATGATTCTAGGCAATATAGGCCAAAGAAGGAAAAAGTAAGACTATGAAAGATTAACAAGATTTGGCTATGAAGACCTAAAATAGAATTCAACAATGAAGGCTAAAAAAAACTTTTCTTCTTAAGAAGAGCCTAAAGCTCTGATACCGTGTGACAAAATTGAGAGTATATAGAAAAATTCTCTGTTGAATTATACAAGCACTTTAGATTTATATATAGCTAACTAAAGGGTAAACTACAAAAATAAATCTTCCTAAAGTTGATCCCTATAATTGAAGAATTATCTATCCTAATTTTTTGTCTTTAATTCTAGAGATACAAATATATAAAAATTACTACGAATTGTAGCTAAGTGTTTTCGCACTGCAAAAAATCTCAATACTCCATATCTCAAAATATGCACTTGAGCTTTTGGTTCAATAGTAGGTACATGTATCCCTTGCTCAAAAAGCATAGTTCAAATGATGTGTATGTGTATGTTTGTCTCGTTTGTGTGTCTCTTGCATATCTGCCGGTTGTTCTTTGGGGGGGGGGGGGGGGTGTGGGAGTGATGATTTTACGGAACTCAACAAGGTCCACCCTGTTCCATAGTTGATTATGTTGAGTACTTTCTCCTATGTTGCTTGGACATGGAGGTAAGTGTATGATATGGGTGTGTGACCGACAAATTGCAATCAATTCTTTCAAAGTTTTTCCTTGAGGATCAAGACCTCATACTCATGTCCACTTTAAGGTGCAGATAAATGTCCTACGTGGATACTTGAGGAAAAATGAATAGTTGGAACAACATAGATTCGTACTTTATTGTTATCATTGGGTTTCATGGTTTGTATAGGTGGGCCCAGGTATGATTTAAGTCAGAAGAGGTTTGATTACTGTTACGCCAGTGCTTTATTCTGGTTTCCATTCTCTTCACTGGTGGTTCTCTTTTTTTTTTTTTCTCTTCTCTTGCTGCAGTTCTTCATGTCACTTAGGAATGCATCTATGAAGATGGATATTTTGAAATCTGGCAAGATGTCGAATCATTCTAACCTTAAAGTCTGTCATTAAAAAAAATGTATTGCAAGGTGTTGAATAGAATAATTAGGGGTTTACCTGATCTCGGAAATGGACTGCTACTTAAAACTTCAAAGAGGCGATCTTAAGACTTTTTAATTTTTTTTTGTCTACTGGTTAAAACAACTCACCCCCAATCCCTGGACTCAAATCTAAAATTATTTTTAACAAAGAAGATAGAGGAAATATTTAAAGGTGCGGGGAGGGACCTTAATCGTTAGAGTTGGTCATTGGTATTGGAATGGGAACTGGTTTGGCAGTGGAAGACAGAACACAGGTTTGTTAGATATACAGAGATGTAAGTCCCTATGGAGCAGGTTACTAATATAGTGCCTACTGTTCAACTTATATCAAATATTGTTCCCTTTCTTGAAAAGTTATTACCTTTCAAAAAGCGTAAAGATTATATTACTTTTACCTTTACATTACTGAGTTGCTTTCTCGTCTTCGCTGTTCTTACTTGTTATAATTTATCAGGGTGAAGGATGTTGTTGCGATTAGCCTTCTGTTATAATGTGGATGATTTTCTTGGGTCATTCCAATGTAGAATGTATACTTAATAATATCTTATAAATTAGCAAAAAGCTTTACTCTTAGTTCTAATATGTGATAATAAAGCATCATTAGTACTTGTATAGTGGTCCTTCTTGCAGGAAAAAAACCTAAGTTTTTTTGAATTTCTCAATAATTTTTCTTGTTTGCCCTAAAATGTTGTGACGTGTAACATAACAAAAATTGATCTTAAATACCTATCTATTTTGTAGCAGAAGCCGTTGAATTTACAAAAAACGTATAGAAGATTATGAAAATGAGATAGATGAATAGATAATTTGGATGATTTCTTGCAATGTTTTGGTTGGTTGCATTTTGTTGCAATAAAGTTTGTTTTAATTTACATTACAATGTAAAATCCTTGTTTTATCTCAAAGTTGCTTCACTCCTCTGAGAATTGCGCATTCTTACTGATACATAATTGTCTCTTTTATCATTATGTGTTAAGCCTTTTCTAAATCTGATGTTATGGCGCATGTAGGGTGATTGAAAATGAGTATTTAGGTCTGAGAAATGGCATATTGGATCAATCAGCTATACTGCTTTCAAGCCATGGTTGTCTAACCTACATGAACTGCAAAGTAAGTAAAACTATTAGTAGTAATTTATAAAATAACAGATCCTTGTTTGGTTTCAAGTGATTTTTTTTTGTTACTTTGCCACTTCTTAATCAGTCTTGTGGACTTGCTGTAATTTGGTTATCGTGCTGATCAATGACTGTATTCTACTTTCACATTTGTTATATGCTCAAAATCATCCATAGTAATAATAAAATTCTAACTGAGTGTCACGAGTTAAGTGACACTAATTCAGTTGAGGAGTTGACTCAGAACCCAAATTAAATCTTGGTAAATATATAACATGAAGAATATAAATGTAATTTAATATGAAAATTTAAATATTTTTTAGTTAATTTTATTTTTTAAACTATTAACACATTCAACAGAGAAAAGTAACCAATAAAAAAATAGTTATGTAACTTCTTTTTTCTTTCAGTTGTTTTTTTTTTCACTCTTTTTTTTTTTAAAATTTTTCTCTTTCACCCACATACTGAGTGCCAAAATCTATTTAATTCTATATCTTTGTCGCCCTCAGTTCTACGCAATTATTCTATCATTCTATTCACATTTACTGTATACTATCATTTTTCTTATTATTGTCAGTCCTACTAGCAAATAAAATTGAGGAAAATATGCACTTTATTTAACTGCATAGCATCATCTATCAAAAAAAGGCACAAGAAATAAAAGGTTTTTTCTCTCTATTATAGGCTAAATTTCTGAGTTACAAAAAAAGCTTTTAGTGATTGCTTGTCTGCCACATCACATGAGCTGTGTAAATTTTGTCAGATGCTTCTCCCTAAACCCTGTCTACATTCATTTGATTTCTCCTCTCCTAGATTTCATCCCTCTATAAAGAGTAGTGCTATTTCTATCTCCATTTCCTCTTTTCGTACCCCATTACTAGTAACATTCATTCTTTTTTCACTTCACATCTTAAATCAAAACATTAATTTATTAAAAAACCCAAATAACCCACATGCCCCCTCTTCTTCTTCACCAAAAACCTTAATCTTTTTAAGGATTAAGTTCTAATCACCCATTTGATGTTAAATAACTTAGAATCATAGATAAATTGTTTGTTTTTTTTCTTGTTTGTTTGTTCGTTTGATTTTTTGTTTAATTTCAAAAGATTTAAAATTTTAAGTTTAGGGGTGCAATCTGGGGCAGCAATTCGAGTATTTTGAAAATAAATTTTCAGAAATTGTTGAAGATTTCTAAAAATGGATGTCCAGAAACTTTTTCAACATACCAAAAATTCATATAAGTTTTCGAATAATTATAATGCTTTTTGGAAATGAATTTCTGGTAGAGTTAAAAAGTTTCTGAAAATGAATTTCCTTATATTGAAAAAGTTTTCGAAAATTCATTTCTGGTAACTTACTAAGAAGAGGTGTAAAGAATAAAAAAATAATTAACTAATGAATATTTAAGTACTTTCTGTATTGATTAATTTTTTTGGTTGTATTGAGAGTTATTTGGAGTGCAAATAGTCCTACTCCTCTATAAATTGATAAATCTCTATCTTATCCTTATATGGATAATGTTTTGCTTAAAAATAAATTTGCTTCCATAGTATTTGCTACACTTTTCACTCACTCTGATTATTATTGTATCAAGTTATGTAATCCTTTTTTTTGGAATATAATTGTGATGCTATTATGAATGTTTATTTTTCTTCTTATCTTATTGTCACAAAATAAAATCTGAATTTATTTAACTTGTTCAAGTTACATGGCATCTCATTGCATGTAGACTACAGAGCACAAGCTTATACACCCACCAAAATTTCTGAAGGATCACGAGGCTGAACTACAGAAAGGGTACAAAATATTACTAGCATTTTCAGGACTTAGGCAAGCTTTGACCAGCAATCCTGGATATAATTCTCGAGTTGCAGAATGTCAAGAAGCTGCCAAAGTTCTTTTGCAGTATGATCTCATTCCCTCTAATTGAGAACCCTGGAGAATTTTTTACTATGATTTTGGCATTTTGATTGCATATATCATCACATTGTCATTTTAGCTTGTTAGGCAGTTGTGTTCATGTTAATTTCAATACTGATTCACTTTTTGATTGAATGGTTGTGAATAGAGAATATTTGAATTCTTTCCCTGATTATGCTGATAAGAGGAGGTATATCATTGTTTAAAGCTTAGAGATATTTCATATGCCCTTGTAAAAGTTCCAACTTAGTATGAACAGGATGCATACAGATGTTCAATGCATGGCACTATCCCTTCTTTTCTTACGAAACTGAAAGTTTTCAATGAGGAAATTAGGTCCACACTCTGCTGGGATAAATGCGCACAACTGATAGCATTAAATGAAATTTACATCTTTTGTTGTCTTGTTTCTGACTTCAAATATATCATACAGTAATATTATGAGAACTTTATGTATGATATTTCATTTTTCAATAAACTGCAGCCCTTTATGTTGTGTCATGTTTTTACTGTTTACTAGCAGCAGGTCCTGGTTTATAGTGTTTCACCTTCTTTTTTTTTGGTTCTCTGTTTCTGTTTTGCAGTGCTTCTGGAAATGGTGAACTGGAGCCCTTCCTGTGCAATGGTTAGTACAATTGTCTCTTTGAATTTGAACTTCCTTTTCTATGTTTTGGATTTGCATCATGAATTTAATTTCTTTCATCCCCTCTTTTGACAGTTAAACCAGAAGCGTATGAAGCTTACAAGGTAAACATCAATATATGGACTCTGATTTTCGAAGCCAAGATTTTTTGCTGCACTTCTTCTTATCAGTTGAATAGTTACGTTTTGTGTTTATTTTATTTAATTTCTTATTGTACTAGAAGAGTAAACTTTGAGTTAAATACTTCAATTCACTAAGACTCCACATGGTTGATGCTTTTATTTTGTACTTTTGATGTTTGTCTCTTATTTTCAGTTCATCTTTTATCTTTTTCTTTCACTTTAACTAAAAAAGGCAAATAGCAAAAGTATCAATCAAACGGAGCCTAAATAGGATTTCTATTTCTCACTTTTAAATAGTTTGAGTGTAGAATGCACATATTCACAATTATGTTACTACTAATAAAAAATAGCTTGTCGTAGTGAATCTTCTGTACATTCACCTGATCCTTGAGTATGCACCTCTGATTTAGCACATAGATAGGACAAAACATTGTATGCTGAGAGAGGAGTGAAAGAGAAAGACAGAGAAATAAAGATCTAAAAGAGCAAAGATATCAAGAAATTTATCAGTCTGATAATCTACCAAAAGCTTCCTGGATATGAAAATTACATAAGCATTTATATAGATACTCTTCTTAAATCATTCTAGGAATAAAATTCAAAATAGAAGACTAATTAACTTAGACTACAAGCAAAACAAACCTAATAATCTGATACCTATTAAATTTTAAACCTTGCTTAAAGAACCTGAAATAGCATACTTTCCCTTGTGCACAAAAGAAAAGAAACAGCAATTCTTCTTGTCTAAAACAACTTCCTTTTCTGATCAGTAGATGGTTATTCTTTTTCTTTATTATTATTATTTTTTTCATAGAAGAGATCCCTTTGTCACAAACATAAGATCTCTACCAAGCACCAGCACATTCCAGTAGTTAGGTTATCTTTTATGTACATAACCTACGCATCTAGTTGTTGAGTTGACATTCTACTTTTTGTCCATAAGTTTGTTTCCAATATCAGTATCTCCTTTCTATTGTGCAGCTCAAAATGGAAACAAATCTAGCCAAAAGAGCAGAGCATTACTTTTCAGAGAATATGCGAGTTACTAAAGGTACAGCCATGTTATCACACTTTCATAAATTTACCTGGCCGATGTAATCGTCTCATTTAGACATTCATGTTGTTTAATGGCTAATCAACTAATAGGGGATTGGCAAATTGGTTATTCCAGGTTTAGAGGATTGGGCGTCAGGAGACTTGAAAGATTTTGGACAGTTAATGTCAGCTTCTGGTCTAAGTTCTATCAAAAACTATGAATGTGGTATGACCTACCTTTTCTTTTTCTTAGTTGGATTGCCCTGCCTCTAAAATTCCAAAAAATTGAACCAAGAAGAAATAAAAGAACAAGATATTGATACTCCTATTGGAGCCCCTTTGAGAAGATGCAATAAAGATACATTGAGTAAATTTATCTCAGTTTTTTATATAATAATATAGTAAGGCTCTTCTACTGTTCTCAGTTTTGATACTTGAGCAGTTAATTGATTCTATTCATAATGAGCTTGATGGCCATGTGGCCATTATATATGTATCAGTTGAATTACTTCAAGTTCTAATACATGCTATGCTACTAGTTCTAGAGGACATGACAAATGTCATGTTCGATGATTGCCATGTTTTATATGAAATGTTTGCAACCATCGGCAGTATCCCTCCCCATGGTCTGATAACAAAATATATTTTGTGTGCGGCTCAAATTCATACTTTATTATTTTTCAAGTTTAAATTTGAATTACAGCACTAAAACTTTTTAATTCTCAATCTTTCCTTTACTGCAACAACAAAATGTAGAAAGAGTGAAGCGCTGAAGGGATATCCTTATCAACTATAACGCAGGTTTTTTACTTTTGTAGGCTTGGGGATTGTGACTCGGCTTAAATGCATATTGAAACTTACTGAACTGTTAATTTAGGTGAATATTCTTATAAATGACCGTCTCTAATGTAATCTAATGGTTTTTAAGGTTGCGAGCCACTGATTCAACTATATGAGGTCCTATTGAGGGCTCCTGGAGTATTTGGAGCTCGGTTCAGTGGAGCAGGATTCAGGGGTTGCTGTTTTGCATTGGTAGATGCTGATCGCGCAGCAGAAGCGGCAAAATTTGTCAGGGAAGAATATCCCAAGTTGCAGCCTGTGTTGGCAAGCCAATTGAACCAAGACACAGCTGTATTGATTTGTGAAGCCGGTGACTGTGCTCGTGTAATCTGATTAAATGGTTACTGTTCATTTCTTAACACATTTTTGACATTCCATTCATTCATATCATTGTACTCAGACCATCTGTTTTGTACCATCTCAGACTATGAGTTTGCAGGAAATATAAAAAGGATTTTGGACTAAAACGTATTATTTATAGTGCAATTTTATATTCTCCACTAGGCTACCAAGGTTAATTAATTTTGGCACTTTAAATTGTGTCAATGTTTGCGAAAAATATATTACTATACTTAAGATTATAATTTGTGATTTCATAGAAGAGAAAAAGAATAAGTGATGAAAAAGTTTATGATTTAGCTTAACTTCCCTTGATTTTCCTCAAATTCTTTCATTTTTTAATTGTCCCAAATTGGAGGAAAAGGAGAGGAAATGAGAAAAATAAAATTTTTAAAATATAAAAGGACTGTTAAATCTTTATTAATTTTTTTTAAATTTTAAAATGTAAACATCATTGACCAATGAATAGACTCTCTTCAATTGTTTTTTCACTTAATATGTCATAAATTTAATTGATAACTATTTTTATGAAACAATAAGAAAAAATTGAAAATATGAAATATGTGAATAAGTATAAATTACCATCATCATAACTTTTACTTTGGATTTTAAAATCCTAGCAACAAATAAAGTTTTTTCAATTGCTTTAGAAAAAAAGAAAATGTTACTATAATTGAATGATGATAAATTTTAAGGAAAAAATAATACTTAATGCATTTTTAAAAAAAAATTAATGAAAATAATACATCATATGTATTTAAATAATATTTTTATTATCTTTAATTAATATTTATAAACACTTATTAATCGAACTTTTAAAAATTAAAACAATCTAAAAGTTAATAATTTTATCATTATATATTATTTTACTGTTATATTCTGACAAAAGAAGTTTAATTTGATACTATAAAAGAAGGTTATAATTAAAAAAATAATATATTGATTTTTTTTTCATTATTTAATCAAACAATAATTGTTAAAATTTTTTTAATTAATCTTAATTATTTAAACAATGGTACATAGATCATTTATGTTCCTTTAAAAAAATTTTTTTTTTTACTTTTTTTTATCCTTTTTTATTTTTTAGTAATATTTATCCAAACATAGAATAAAGTAAAGAAAAAATGGGGTTTACCTTATTACTTCTACGGTGATGTTGAAGACGTCGAAGTTGAGTGGATCTTCCTTCAGCTTTTGTCTTTCTGTCGATCCTTCTTTTTTTTTTTTTTTTTTTCTTCCGTTTTCCCTCAGCTAGTCTTTTGACCACTTTCCCTGGATTGAATCTCAAAGCAAATATTGGAAAGTATTATCTCAATTTTTGCAACTTTCTTTTAAATTGATCACTCTAATTAATCTTCGATAGACCAATTTAAAAAAAACATATCAAATACAATTATTATATTACAATTAATCAATTATAACTTAAAATTATATGGAATATATTAAAATTTTATGGTTAGCTTATACTTGTTATGATTAATTGTAGGATTATAATAAAAAAATATATATAAGTGAAATGCCTTATGCAAGCTAAGAAGGAAGCGGTGGATTAAACTTGGCCAAGTAAGCTAGGTAGCCAACCAACTTAACTAAGAAAGAAAGCGGGCATAAGACCATCTTAAGAGGTAGCCAACCAACTCAAGAGTATAGCATCTCTCCTAGCTCCAAATCGCACATTGGCAAGCTATAAGGAATCTTATTTTAGATGAAAAGGAATTAAAAAAAGTTTATGATCGGATCTCAGGCAAATGTAGCTAACCATATAACAATCAAATGGCGAATGGTATATTCTGGAAATGTGCCTCGTGAGGCTGAAGATAGAATAAGTGGTAGAAACACGCTATCTAGGGTCCAAAAAGAACTGTGTATATCCTAGAAATGTGCCTCGTGTGGCTGAATATCGAATAAGAAATAGAAACACGATTTATAGTGTTCAAAAAGAATAGATTCAAAACCCACTTCAGTAGTGCAATGACTAGTCGAGTTGCTTTTTCTAGATTATAGGAGCATCAAATATTGCTAGTCGTACAGTCGAAAAGGAATTGTGTTTTATGGATAAAGAAATTGACAAAAGCAACTACGTATGGGGATGAACTATGAATCAGCCATCTTTCTTTAGAGCCTAATTTATGTACTAAGGTTGACTTTGTCTCTGTACTATATATGAATTAATGTTGAATTTTATTTGTGAATTTTAATTTTATTAAAATTTATTATCATATATTTTCAATTTTGATGATTTTTTGAAAACAAAAGTAACTGAATTGTTGAAACAAAATATTCTAATTCAATTTTTAATCCAAAAATTAACCAAAATTTTGAGTTTGGCTAAATAAGAAACGAAAATAGACAGAGCGAGAAGAGACTCACATCATAACAACGAAGAGCACCAAGATCGCTGAGGAGATGGTGGAAAGATCAACTATGGATTCACCAGCATGCCTTGAATTTACCACTTCAAACAACGAGCCCACGAATTTCTGATATGAAGTAAGACCATCCATGGCCTCTGAATTCCATTCCATTGAGCAGAATAGAATAAGCTGAACTAATATAAACCCAAAAACAGTGGCAGCAAGAAAAGAACAATGAATTCCTGACAGCAAATGGCTATACCCAATCTCCTTATATTCTCCAGGATGTAACTGAACTCCACCCGCTTTGTAATCTTTTCCAAAACCCATATCAAGACACGTAGGCAAGCAGGATACAGTGTGTTGCCGGCAAGAATTTGAGGGATTAGTAGCAGTAAAAGACCGGAATTCTTCTTGAAAACTATCATGTTCTCATTTGTGGGCACAAACCCACAGTTTGCAAACGTAGAAACAACGGTGAAGACTGAAAATATGTGTATCTCAATGCCTTTGGTTTTGAGTATATTTCTTGCGCTTGGAACTAGGCTAAAGTACATGGAAACTAAAATAGAACCACCTATATGGACTACTAAGAGATACCCTAATCCGACATACCCCAAATACCTAGTAGCTTTATAGTTCAGACTCTCGGTATGGGAGGACAATTTAGTGTTGCCTTCTAAGTCAGTGTCAGGTTTCTCATTCTCTAAGGTCAAACAATTAACTGAGCGCAATTCTATTTGAAGGGTAATCCTTTTTGGAACAGAATTTATTCTGTCCTTAGGACTTTGCTGTTTCCAGAACCTAGACTTTGCCCACAGAAGTTCAAGCATGGAAACAAAGAGCTCCCCACCTACCAGCATCAAAACAGTTATAACGATAAATTGGGTATTGGAAAAAACCTCCATTTCTACAGTCGACATGCTCGAAACCGTTGCTGCAGAAACAGAAGTGAAGAACACGTCAATTTTCTTAGGTCTAAATGAGTCGATTTTCGGCTTTGACATGTTCAGAGCCCAGTAGCCAACAAAACACAGGACTAGGAAATAAGCAATCTGAACCCAGAAGGGATTCACTTTGAAAACCAAGAAACGAAAACAGGAGGAAATCAAACCATAATAGGATTGGTTGAAGCATGCTGCTTTGGTGCGTGAATGGCAGCACAAACGCTCCAATTTCCTACCAAAATAGATAAGTCTCCTCATCTTTACTATGAAGAAAGTTGCTATGATTACATATTGGAGGTTGGGTGGGGGTATATATAGGAGCTCTTGTTGGAATATTTTCAAAATATGTGAAAAATAATTGATGAAGCATGATAGGATCACTTCAACAGGTGACGAGGAAGAAGTGATTAAACGATTGCAATTGATAGAGTCTGATATGTACGCTCCGGTCTTAAAAGAGATTATTTAAGGTAACTGCTTTCTATTTGTTCGGGTGTATTTCGTGGTAATGTCCGTAGAGTTGTTGAGAGTCTTGCCACTAACCAATTTTTGGGGCGAGCAGTGCTATATGATAGATGTTTTGGTTTCTGGTGTATGTAATATTCTAAATATGGGAAGCAGAATTGACGCAAACCTGTGGGGAGCAATTAGGGATGGCATCGGGTCGGGTTCGGGGCGGGTTTTGCTCGCCCCTGAACCCGACCCGACTTTATGTTTTAGCATACCCGAATCTCGATCTTACTCGATTTTTTTTATACCCGACCCCGACCCGACCCAATACTATATAAACCGTACCCGACCCGACCCGAATTAATAAAATATTATTTTTTAAATATAAAATATTATTTTTTAATATAAATATTTAAAAATATTATTATATATATAATTAATTAATTTAAAAATAATTTTTTATATAATATCGGGTAGGTCGGGTCGGGTTTTAGGCATACCCGAACCCTACCCGAAAACTGAAATTAAAAAAACCCGACCCTATGGGGTCGGGTCGGGCCGAACCCGTCAGGGATAGGGTTGATTGCCGTCCCTAGGAGCAACAATTAGTGGACTAGGAAGCAAAAATTACGGGAGTCTCATCGAGGACAAATGAAAGGGACAAACTAATAAGGGAATAAGGGTTTTACCAAATTAATAACACGTTATCTTATCTAAGCTCTAATCAAAATTAGTTTTTATTACTTTAAATATTTAGATATTAAATTTTTTTTTAAGTTTTTACCAAAAAAAACATAATACTCTCAAGGGGATTTAAAATAAACTCATTATTTACCTCAAAAGATTTCGAATTTATTAAATATCTTATTACAAAGAAACCAATTTATCTTTTTTATTTATTTACAAAATAATTTCATACAAAATATAATAAAAATATTATAAAAAATAAAATTATCTTAAAAATAATATACAAATTATCATAAAAATATCATACAAAAATATCATAAAAACATCATAAATATATCATAAAATTTATTCAAAAATATTATGCAAATAAAAAAATTCATGC